ATGGAACGTCCGAACGATGTGGGAGATCGGGAAGACCAGTCAAATGGCAACGGAAATGAGGAGATACAACTTGTCAGTACTGGGAATCAGCGAAACCCATTGGACTCAAGCTAGATACGGGAGAGATGCTGCTATACTCCGGTCACGAAGAGCAAAATGCTCCACACACTCAGAGAGTCGCTCTTATGCTGTCCAAGGTAGCACGAAAGGCACTTGTAGGATGGGAATCTCACGGATCCAGAATCATCAAAGCATCATTCAAAACAAAGGAGGGGGTCTTAATGAATATTATCCAATGTTATGCACCCACCAATGATAGCAACGACGAAATTAAAGATCAGTTCTACGAGCGGCTACAGTCAATCATTGAGAAATGCCCAAGGAAGGACCTAACTATTCTGATGGGAGATCTAAATGCCAAAGTCGGAATAGACAACACTGGATATGAAGATATTATGGGACGACATGGACTGGGAGAAAGAAACGAAAATGGAGAAAGATTTGCAAATCTATGTGCATTCATCAAATTGGTCATAGGAGGTACAATATTTCCACACAAACGTATACCCAAAGCTACATGGATCTCACCCGACCACATTACAGAGAACCAGACAGATCATATTTGCATCAACAAAAAATTCTGAAGGACAATGGAAGATGTGAGAACCAGGAGAGGTGCTGACGTAGCTTCAGATCACCACCTAGTTGTATCCAATTTGAAACTGAAGCTGAAAAAGAACTGGACAAGTGGACAAACAGCACTACAAAGCTTCAATATAGCCTTCCTTCGAGGTACTGACAAACTCAATGAATTCAAGATGGATCTCAACAACAGGTTCTAAGCCTAACAAGATCTACTTAGGGAAGAAGAAACTACTATGGAGGACAACTGAAAAAGCATCAAGGAAGCATTAACTTCAACGTGTCAAGAGGTTCTGGGCCTAAAGAAACACTATCATAAGTAATGGATCCCTATAGAAACACTAGACAAGATCAAAGAAAGGAAGAACAAGAAGGCAGCAATTAACAACAGCCGAACACGAGCAGAGAAAGTCCAAGCACAAGCTGAATACATAGAAGCAAACAAACAAGTGAAGAGGAGCATTAGAGCCGACAAGAAGAAATACGTGGAAGAACTAGCAACGACGGCAGAAAAAGCTGCTAGAGAAGGAAATATGAAACAGCTTCACGATATAACGAAGAAACTAGCAGGGAAATACAGTAAACCAGAGAGGCCGGTCAAAGAGAAAGAAGGCAAGCCAATCACCGAAATTCAACAACAGCGGAACAGATGGGTAAAATACTTCGAGGAACTCCTGAATAGGCCGGCTCCAATGAATCCACCGGACATCGAAGCAGCACACATAGATCTTCCTATAGATGTCAACCCACCAACTACGGAAGAAATTAGAATGGCCGTCAGACAAATCAAGAACGGGAAAGCAGCAGGACCCGACAACATACCAGCTGAAGCACTGAAATCAGACATCGAAGCAACCACAAGCATGCTTTATCTTCTATTCAAAAAGATTTGGGAGGAGGAACAAATGCCGATAGACTGGAAAGAAGGACACCTCGTCAAGATTCCAAAGAAAGGAGATCTGAGCAAATGTGAAAACTACAGAGGCATTACACTACTGTCAATACCAGGGAAAGTCTTCAACAGTGTTGCTGAACCGGATGAAGGATGCAGTAGACGCCCAACTTCGAGATCAACAAGCTGGATTCCGTAAGGATCGATCGTGCACAGACCAAATTGCAACACTACGGATCATCGTCGAACAATCAGTTGAGTGGGACTCATCACTATACATCAACTTCATTGATTATGAAAAGGCATTCGACAGTGTAGATAGGAGGACATTATGGAAACTTCTTCGACACTACGGAGTTCCTGAGAAGATTGTCAATATTATCCGGAACTCATACGACGGACTACAGTGCAAAGTAGTGCATGGAGGACAGCTGACAGATGCATTCCAAGTAAGGACCGGAGTCAGACAAGGCTGTTTACTCTCTCCTTTCCTCTTTCTTCTGGTGGTCGACTGGATTATGAAGACCTCGACATCTGAAGGAAAACACGGAATACAATGGACAGCTCAGAATCAATAAGACTATTTGGACTTCGCAGATGACCTAGCCCTCCTATCACGTACACACGAACAGATGCAGATGAAGACAGCCAGTGTAGCAGCAGTCTCTGAATCAGTAGGCCTCAGCATACACAAAGGGAAAACCAAGGTCCTCAAATTCAAAGCGGAGAACAGCAATCCAATCACTCTTGATGGCGAAACTCTGGAAGATGTAGAATCCTTCACATACCTAGGAAGCATCATCGATGAACAAGGAGGTTCAGATGCAGACGTAAAGGCGAGGATCGGCAAAGCAAGGGTCGCATTCCTACAATTGAAGAACATATGGAACTCAAAACAACTTTTAACCAATATCAAAGTGAGAATCTTCAATACCAACGTCAAGGCAGTTCTACTGTATGGAGCTGAAACTTGGAGAACTACAACAACCACAATCAAGAAAGTACAAGTATTTATAAATAACTGTCTACGCAAGATACTCAACATCCATTGGCCGGATACCATCAGCAATAGCCTTCTGTGGGGGAGAACAAACCAACTTCCAGCTGAAAAAGAAATTAGGAAAAGACAATGGAAATGGATAGGACATACATTACGCAAATAATCAAACTGCATCACGAGACAAGCCATAACTTGGAATCCTGAAGGGAAGCGAAAAAGAGGAAGGCCAAAGAACACATTGCGTCGGATAATAGAAGGAGATATGAAGACGATGAATTACAACTGGACGGGGCTAGAAAAGATTGCCCAGGACAGGGTTGGATGGAGAATGCTGGTGAGCGGCCTATGCTCCTTCACGAGGAGTAACAGGCGTAAGTAAGTAAGTAAGTTTCGAAACATTGAATTCGGTGGCTTGGATATGTATTACGGATGTCGTACCAGAGAATTCCACATCGTTGGTTCTTCACGACTCGCTGGTTGAGGTCTTACAGATGGTGCAACAGTGGCTGGAGACGTTATCAGACATTACTCAGAATAAAGCCAGTTGCGATTCCGCTGTAACTCTTTCTTACTTTCATCATAAAAATAGACGTAACTTCTTTGATTTAGAGTTCTTTTTGGTTACATTTTGCTAACTGAACTGTTTCTCTGATTATTATTATTATTCCACTCTCATACACCGATTTCTGTTTGTTGTTGTTCTTTTATTATACGCACTTTACATTATCTCTCCATGGCCTCACTGTTATTGTGTGGTGCATATGTATTTGGTGCCCCTTTGTACCAATGTTTGTGTTCAAATAAATAAATAATAAACTCCTTAGTTGCATTCCTAGAGATGAGGCACCACAGTGGCCTGAGATGTTGTCAGACGCGGTTCAGAATGGATGCCACTGGCGGTCCTGATGTGATTTCCCCTTACTTTCCTCATATGAGAGAAACTTTCACTGGAAGGACCCTTTCTAGTTGTATTTTTCTTAGCTGAACTGCTTCTTCCACTACTTTTTTCCTTTTTTATCATACTCACTTTTCTTTAACTATCTCTTTACAATCTTATTTTTATTGTGACGCATACATATATTGGTGTCCAATATTTGATTTCAAATAAATAAAAAGCGTTGTGAAGAGCTTCTCCTATATCAAGAACCTAGAAATGAAAGCAGATTTATATTGATATGTCCAGTGAAAATCCATGCAAGGAAGAGACCTGAACCATAGGTAGGTAGTATCTCTGGAAATAGTAATGTTTTGTGGGAAACATCTCATACCAGCTACACTTTAGCAAGGCCAGCAGTATGAAATGTCGTTTCTTACCTAACTACTTTTTGATTAATCTGTATGGTAGAACCGGTAAACTATACGTGGAAACATGGCTATCTTCTAAGCAGGCCTTAAAATACGAGACTGGTTAAACAAGCTAACATAATCTAGTCTTTTTTGGAGGGGTTGTGTAGGTTGTGAAACGTCAGTCAATTCACGATACTCAATACACGCAGACAATTAAATCAAGACCAATGTAATTTAAAACTAGGATGAAAAGCACGATATATTGTCTCTTAAATCGTTGCATTATAGCCGAATTATTTAATACCTTATTCCTTACTCACTGTTAGGTAAATCAATGTAACGGTTGAATCTTGTGCTGATCTAGGTTTCTCTAGAAATAAGGGAGTTGATAAACCGGAGTGACCAATTAGTGTCCAACATGCTAATCATTTGTTACAAACGAAGATCATAAAATTATCATTACGCCCCTATCTAGCGGCCGAAAAGAATTAGGACCAATTTAGATAGATAAAGCCGATATATGTATGGAGTAACATATTCTTTTTCATCACAATCTGAACAAACCACACATAAAAGACATTTCCTTAAAGCTACTTACATGATGACTACAACTTCAACATCTGCACCGCTTGGTTTCAACCGACACTATAAGCAGAAACACATACATTCACTGATTTCACGGTGGGACTATATATTTATGGACGACCTCTGAGCGACGCTAAAAGGACATTGATAATGTCCACCTACATACTACGGCTAAATGAGGGTTATGAACCAGTGTGAGGAACTAAAATTAATATTCTAAATTGATAGTTAGAGTTAGGAAATAGATCTATGGTTTTCATTACAAACCTACATTAGCTATAATGCTAAAAATATTTAGCCAAATGAATGAATTAATTTTGCGCCGAAATTCAAGACCTGTCGTCGTAAATCTGACTGGTTCGTCCATAAATTATAGTCTCACAAGCTGCGGTAAACTGTGGCTATGCCGTAATTGCTTTTTCTCTCTATTGCCTATAATGTAGATTATGGCTTTTATAGCAAGTGCCTCTTGTCAGCAATATAATAAAATAATAATTCATAAGCATCGAAACCGTGCTAAAATGCATAAATTTGCTTTGAAGGCGTAATACGATGAAACATCAGGAGAAAAAAATAAGGGAACCAGTAACTAACTTCAGGTTTACAGCTCTCTTCAACCCATTTTATCACTGATGCTGAGAGGTCAGTAAAAGAATTGAATACAATATAATTGTCAAATGAACGGAACATGGCGTCAAAAAACACTCGAAACACTTCTAGTTTTGTATCATCTGGAATCGGCTCGACTGATCTACATTCGTAATTCGGACTGTTTTGAACTATTTTCTCATAATTCCTGAATTTAAGAAACAACTTCGTTGAAGACTTACAAGCATAGTATTCGAAGAGCTTTAACCTCCTTTTCTAGACTTTCGACTTCTGACAATTTCTGGTGCTTTTGCTTTCCAAGTCTTTCAATCATATAGATAGCTGTAATGGTTGAACGAATATACTACTTTTCACTACCTTTATGTAATATGCTCGATTTACTCATCCTAACGGACGGAGAGGGTGATTCGTTTTTCATTGGATGGACGAGCTCTAATAACCCTTCAAAACCCCTCTAAATTAGGCATGGAAACCATAGCAGTACAACCAACCTTTATAGCATTTCGACGACGCTGCTCCGCTTCAGTGTGCAGCTTACGCCTGCGTTCTCTAATGCCATAACTCTCCACAGATGAGTAGTTTTCATCTTCCAGGTCTGATTCATATAAAGTTTTAACACCTGTATTATGTGATAAGCTGCTTTCTGCGTTCAGCGCCATCTGCTTGCGTCCAGACAACAACCCGAAAGATCTAGCGCAATACTTGACCTTCCCTCTAAACTCGAAATTCAAACTCCAAACTCTGATAGATGAATTAGAAAACTATCTGCTTAGAAATAGAGTTGTCACGCTTCCTAAAACAACGGAAATATAGGGGAGAATATCAAAAAGGTAAATTCTTCTTTTAAAATACAGAAGGTCAAAAAATTTAATAGTGTTTATAAGACTGGTAAAATAATATATTTTCTTATTTTATGTGACACTGTATAAACACCTGTCCTAGACTGTCAGGTTTTCCATTGAATTACACGAGGTTTGCGCGTCAGATATCAATTAATTTTCGTTGTTGCAGTGGGGCGTGATATTTGTGGAGATAGTTAGAATTGCTATACTTTTGGTTCACCACATACTCAAATATTTATATTTCGGCAACGCCTTTACTGGTAACGCCTTTATGATCAATGAATAACAACACATTCAAACCAGAATTCAAACGGTTCAAATAGTTCAAATGGTTGTGGATGGAACAGAAGAAGCTTTCCTTTAACGGGCTTCCGTGTCTAATAGCAGGGGATCACCAAATCCTTCAGGCAGGAACCTAGGTATGTTAACAATAAAAGAGGAAAAAGAACTTGGTAAGTCATAGTATGATACTATACTTTATCCTTAAGAATAGATCAAGTTGCCTCTTAAATGACTCCTGGACTAGCCCGGCCGGCGGCGGATTCCAGCATTTGACAACTCTTAAAGAGTAGAAGTTGTGTCTACAGTCCGTTCTGCTATGTTGTGTCTCCAATTTCTGGGTGTTACCCCTTAGTTTTGTATTGGAACTAAGCCTAAGTAGGTGTTTAAGGGGATGTCTAGAAGTGTCAAGGATACTGTAAGCCATTAGAAGGTCACCTCCAAGATGCCTATACTCTAATGGGTAAAGGTTAAGGGATTGGCGGCCCTTTTCATAAGGTTTGAATTTGAGTCTCCGAACAGATTTCGTGGCTCGCCGCTGGATACGCTCCAGAGTGTTCTTAACCTTTTGAAGTGAGGGAATACTATGTTTCCGTACTCTAAATGAGGACGAATAAAACTGTTGAAGATTATGTGGAAAGTTGTTCCGTCAAACTGGTCAAAAATGTGCTTCAATGTTACCAGTGCCAGGTTTGCTCGAAAGACATTTTTGTCACAGTTAGCGTAAGACTTTAAATCATAGGGCACCAGGACTCCTAAATCTTTTTCGACTTGGGATACTACTAGAGAGGAGTTTCCTAAGTTGTAACTGTAGTCTGCAATATGTCGCAGATGGACTACTTTACACTTTGAAGTGTTAAAAGTGAGTCCGTTATCGTCTGCCCAACTTTGAAGTCGAGTCAGATCCTCCTGAAGTGCCCGTATATCGTCTTGGTTGCGTATCTCTCTCCAAAGTTTCACGTCATCGGCAAAAAAGTCATAAGTCTGACGTTACCTGTTGAGGAAGATCATTTTTACAGATCAAGAAGAGAAGAGGTTTTAGTACTGAGCCCTGGGGGACCCCACTAGGACATTCCATAGCCTGAGATCAAGTGAAATTAACCCTGACCTTAAAATGTCGATTTTTCAGGTATGAAGTAAGCCAATCGATTAGAGGTGGTCTGATACTCAATCGTTTGAGCTTACTGATAAGACATGTATGGTTAACCTTATCAAAAGCTTTGGAGAAATCTAGGTAGATGATATCAGCCTTCCCCTTGTGATCAAGGATGCTTGTCCATCTGTCCACCGCAGTCAGAAGGTTGTTTATACAAGAGTAGCCCTTCCTGGAACCATGCTGTTGGGGTGAGAAGAAATTTAAGGACAATAAATAGTCATTTATACCATCGCATATCAGGGACTCCAAGATTTTTGAAGGTATAGAGAGAAGAGCCACCGGTCGGTAACTTAAAGGTTCGCTGCGTCGACCTCCTTTGAAAATTGGTATGATGTGAGCTAACTTCCAATTTTCCGGTAGTTTGCCTCGGCTTAGCGAGTGTGAGAACATCACTCTAAGCGGCGTTGCCAGGATTGGGGCTGCTTCACTGAGTATGGCAGAATGGGCCATATCCGGGCCAGGAGAAGTGTCTATTCTTAAGTGCTGCAGTTTCCGGAACACCAAGTCAGCGCTCAGGTTCACTTCAGAAAGTCCTTTGGAGTTTCAGATGAAGCTTTCATCAGTACAGTTGATATGGGTCGGTTGAAATGTCCGAGAGTATTGTTCAGCCAAAAATTTAGCAGCGTCGTCTTCGTCGTTGGTCGGGCTGTTAAGGCCTAGCAGTTGGGGAACTCCAGTTTTGGCTTGACGAAGAGAGGCTGCATAACGGGATAAGCTTTTCGGATTAGAGACTAATCTATCCATGAACTCTTTCTAGTACTGAAGCCTGTCTTCTCTTATAGCCTTCGTGTATATGTTCCTTATATGTTTGTATTGCCTGTACGCTCCGTTGTTGTCAGTTTGTTTGTTCTCTGCCCAGAAGTGCCTTTTGCGGCTTAGCAGGCGAAGAGTGAGGTTCCTGATGATTGTTGGTTGCTGATAGCTATGGGGGACCGTTAGTGGAACCGAATAATTTGTAGCACATATGGGCGTGTGCAGTAAGAAGTCCCACTGAGCATCCACATCGAGTTGGGGGTGAACATTCCAATCCACCTGTTGTAGATATCCCTGTAGAGCTGACATATTCAACCGTTTGAAATTCCAGTGCACGTTGTTGGTGGGATATCTTAGCTCAGTTTTGCTGACAAAACTGAAAGCTATAACGGTGTGATCGTTTTTTCCCAAGGGAGCCAGGATTGAGAGGTTGTCAACTAGTAATTCTTCGTTTGTAAATACACAGTCTAAGCGTGATGGTGTCTGACTGTTTCTCCAACGAGTTGCCGACTTCACATTTTCGTATAATCCTGAGTCCTCAATGAGGATGAATAACCGTGCTCCAGTTGAGTTTTCACTTCCAATGTACGTATGTTCCGCGAAGTTGACCCCAGGGAGATTGAAGTCCCCTGGAATCAGGATATGAATGAAACCGAGACGCGTAGAGCGAGATAGTCCTTCCAGTATACGACTGTCATACTCGGTGTCAGCAGTGGACTTCCTGTTTTTGACTCCGACTAGACACCTCGAATTAGTAGACAATCTTACAGAGCTCCATATGGATTCCTCAAGATTGTTAAACTCGAGGTCATGAACTTGGTGTACCTCCAAACAAGATCGTATATATATGGCTACTCCACCCCCATTTCCTGATTTTTTGTCATTGCGGATCAAAGACATCCCAGGTACTACTAACTCATGGTCCGAAAACTGAGAAGATATCCAAGTTTCAGATATTCCTATCAGATGTGCCTTATTAGTATTGCTAAGTTCACGTAGCTCATCCATTCTGTTTGATAGGCTCGCGGCGTTCATGTATAAGCAGTTTATGCTTTCAATTTGAAACGCGTGAGCTTCTTCCTGTTTGTTTGTATGAGTCTTACGTGAATGGACAGGTAGCCTACCTATATAAGGTTTGCCGAGTTGGTAGGCTCTGTCCTTTACACGTTTTTTTTATCATCGAGACAGTCCACAAGTGGAATGGTCAGTCCAACTTGCCTTCCTGCTTGGTCCTAGCTTCATATGGCCTATCCGGGTGCATGTGGATTCCAGCTGGCAACCGACGCCTGTTGGCACGAAATGTCTCCAGAGTTGCAGCCGCCATATGGGAGGATGGGAAAGTTATCTTTATTAGCTGGGGTCTGGAATCACTGTCTTTCTTGGTTGGTCTCGTCACACGTTGAGTCAGTATGTTTTTGAGCCTCAACGACTCTTTGATGAATTTTTATTCCCTAATATCAAAGTTTGCTTGCTAGGGTCCGTGTTTTTCGGTACACCTTGCACAATTAAATTTATTTCGCGGAAAAACTCGCGAGATTCTTTAGGGATGTTGCGGATGAGATTGAGCTCAGAATACGGTATGTTGGGCAGTATTCTTACGTTCCCATCGGATTTCAGTAAATAACTCGCTAGCAAGACATCCTCTACGTCGGTAGCATTCTTAAGTGTTACATGAAGTAGCCTCGGGTGTTTTTGATGTATAGATTCCTTTCCCCGAGTGAGTCGTGTGACTGTCAAAGGCTCTATTCTAGGAAATTCAAGTTTCTTATCCAATTCACCCCAAAGTATCCTGTCACTTTTGTCCTGCAAACTGAGAGGACGGTCAGGGTTGTCTCTGAGGTTCATGATTATGAGAGAGTCATCACGAACTGTTATTGTTTTCCCAGGTTTTCCGATGCGTTCAGGTTCAGCACCTTGTTGTTTGGAGGTCGAAGCACGTTTGTGAATCCTAGGCTCTTTGATGACCGGACAGACATTCTTTGCGGTAGACTGTGCGACCAAATAACCAGTTGATTTCCGTACAACTCCTGAGATGTTCAACTTGGACGGTAACGCCTGATTTTTTTAGCTCTTTTAACGTGGGTTCAGTCACCTACAGAGTTTTCGGGGACCACTTTCGCATTCAAGGACCCTGAGCTGGGAGACCCGAGTTTACTGAGGGAGTCGATTACCGTCGACGTAATGATGGTGCTGAGTTTCAATATGTCATCATTAGTGCTAACGCATGCTCCATCGATGGCAGACCTGTCGACATCCCCGTTCTTCTTTTCGTTGCTCACTCTTGTTTGTCTACCCGTTTTGTGACTGTCTTTTACCAGGTTTCCTGACAACTTACTCTGCAGACCTGTCAGTAGGACAATGACGTTACTCAGCAAGACAACAGCATCCGTACTGCACGTAACACAGAAGTGAAGTTCGAAGATAAACTTGGAAAGTTACCGATATGTCGAGTAACGTTTGGTCTAAGCTGGGTATTATATGCAAGGGATGTGTAGAACGGCTTACCCACTCGTGATGTGATATGGATGTGTGACCAAGCGACTTGTAGGAATAGTTTACATATACTTATTTTGCAAGTAGTTTTTGTTGTTTGCATTTTTATTGATTCTCATAATTTGTACAACTACCA